AGAGAGAGAGAGAGAGAGAGAGAGAGAGAGAGAGAGAGAGAGAAGAAATTAACAACTTAGAGAAAACATGTGCGCTTCCTTATCATCCCCCTTCCCTGCAGTAAGCAACTTATTGTGCCCCTACTATGATCCTGGCACTAAGTTTCTAGGAATACAACAGTGAATAGTCAATTAATTTCATTAGAATGAAAAAAATAAAAAGGAAAACATCTCTGAAATCCAGAATTCAATATAAGTATCCACACCAGCTCCCAAACCAGCAATTTCTGAATAATTAATCATTACTCTGCTTCTATGGCCTTCTATGAAGAATGCTATCTACAGACCCATTCTCAATTCTGTATGTCACAGATATTGACAAATCATCCTTCTTTATCTCTCACGAGTGCAAACTCAAAACAGAGACTGCTGCTGTTCATTACATCTCCCTATGAATTCCACTATGAACACTAGTAAGCTCTGATCTTTTAAATGTGAGACGTCTTAAAACCCTGGGGAGAAAGGATTGTTAAAATTAAGTAGGCTGCTATCTTCTCTGAAATTTTCACTTCAAATTTCATTAACATCACAAGGCAAAATTACCACAAATATTTGTTAACCAATAAGTACAGAAATGTTGAACAGCAAATAGAACCAGTTATATACAACTGAAAACAACGTTCATGGAAACATAAACTAGAAGAATCTATGAGAAGAAAAGACATGTCGATAATAGCTACGCAGCGAAAAGACACTACTTTCTTTAGTTTAAAGGGAAGCTGCAGGTAGGTGATACGCTGGATCTTTAGAACCTTCAACGGTGCCTCCTCCTCACATAAACTCTGCAAAGAGATGACAGGGTAAAATGCAGTTTCACTACTGCCTCTTACACGCAGCAAAGTGGTGTATTTCACTAGATGGCTGGCTGCAAGTCTTCGACAACACCACAGACACCTCCACAGTACTGGAGGATGTCTGTAGGTCCCATTAAATTTCAAATACCACCACTGCCATCTTTACTGCTGATGCATTTTGACCTCTCTCCCGAACGGTATGGGCCTCAAGAATGGGTGCAATCCTGTTAATATGCTTTGCTGTATCCTGTCCTACCCTGAAAGCTCTCCGATTTAATCAACATTCTCACATCTGCTCCAAACTTGAACAAGTCAAATGCCCAGGGCTCTGCTCTTCTTTGCCTAACTTTTTTTTTGCCCACTTCGTGTCACAAGGAATATTTTCATGTTGCAGACCAAACTGCACAATTCTTAGGAAACCACCCAAAACCCCGACTGTTACTTCTCGTATTTAAAGTTCACAAAACAACTGCTGTCTTTCCAAACAGCTCCGTGCAAACCATAGCAAGGCCAAGCAAACAGTCCAGAATAAGTTGCACAGCTCTGGAGGCCTGCCTACTGCAAAGGAAAAGACTGAACTGTGGAACCGCAGCCTCCCAGAGCCTCTGAGCCTGGGGAGGAGGAAGCCTGCATTCCCTTTTCCCCCTGGAACTGAGGGCCAGGGCATTTTCCACCCTCTAGCATCTTGTGCAAGAGGCAACTAATTACAACACAGATTAGAAGCAACCTATTCCGTGAGCCTGTGCATTGCCTGGGCTTTTAAAGAAAATGTTTCCACACAATCACTCTCTTTAAAATACAATAGGGAGTGTGCCACGGGCTAGACTGCCAAGGGAAAGCACGCCCTACCCGGCCAGGTGGAAGGCCCCCCATCCTGAGGCTGACAGCCCCGGGTTGCACCGAGGAGGTCTGGGCGCAGCTCGCGCGCTCACCGGGCAACACCTGGTCTCCATGCTTGCCCATGCCATCCCTTCCAGTCCCTCCCAGCACTCCGAGCGCCCCTGCGCGGTGCTCCCCAGCAGCCGGTGCTCCTCAGCAGCCCGTTCCTCCGGTCGCCCTTTCCGCCACCGCTCGCCGGGTGGGGACGCGAGCCCAAGGACGCCGCGGGCCCCTACCTTGATGATGCTGCTCCGGCGGGGCAGGCCGCCCTGCTTGGTCTCCCGGGGCAGGGCGCCGGCGGCCGCGCTAGCTCGGGCTTCGTCCCCGGGCACGCCGAGGCTGCAGTCTCCGTTGGAACCCCCGCCGCTGTCACAGCGCGCCCGCCCGTGGCCGAGGCGACCTCCCCCGCCGCCGCCCTCGCCCGCTCCGGGTTTCAGGGCGCCCTTGGCGCCGAGCACCGGGCCCGGGGACGTGGGCAGG